AATATTTGAAATGTGACTGTATTTTACAAAATACTAGTCTACTGAAACACAGCCAAGACAATTTACTTTGTACAGACCAAGAGTCAGTTTTATGTTATTTGATACGGTGACATGAGTGCATGATCTGCATCATTGTAACTTCTGTATTGTTAGCCAGGAACGACTGACAGGTCAATATAATAAAAAGAATAAATATATATAAATATATAATGTTATGACATTTAAGCTATTTAGTCTAAACATTTATGTTTTTCTGTTATAATTTGTGTTCATTCTGGAATGAAAGATGCATAATTTATGTTTATTTCCTAATTTTTTATGGTGGTTGCAAGATAGGTCAAATTTACCGAACCCGTACAGAGATTAATTACTGAAAATAACAGATAAAATATAAAGTTTTTTCTTGAGAAACATTTCATAACAATTTGGACATTGTAAAGATTTTGCATGTGAAATTTGAAAATTTTCTGATGCATAAAAGTATTTTCAATCTTAAAATGAAAATTACTTTGCATGATAGATAGGCAACATATGAAAAGAAAAAAAACAAACATGAGAAAAACATTGCTTTACATACCTTAAGACTTAATAAAAAATGTGATGTTTTGCATATGAAAGCATTGTAATGTTTACTGATAATCTTCCAAATTTCCTTAATTTTTGCTTACTAATTTAAAAGTTATAGCACAAAATGGTTATGAGGTTGGTCCCAGGGACCGAGCCTGTGCTGAAAGAGTTAAAAAGTAATTTCTTTCATCATGAGGAACTGATAATTAAAGCATTTTATAAACTGTTTTTAAAGCAGAATCATGATGGCATTTTCTTATTGTAAATTTTTAGGTATTTTTTACATTTGAAGTTAATAAAAAGGTTTCTTCACCCAATATTTAGTGTACTTTTAAAAAAGTTTCCCTGTAAATCTAAAGAATTAATTATTTGTACAATATCTTTACACCAAGTTATTTTGTTAACAACAACATTAGTAATTATATAAAGACTTTTTTTTTTCTAAACTGATTTTAAGAGATATTGAAGTAATTTTTTTATTTTCATTTAAAGAATTGGTTCAACTCTCCACTTTTCAGATAATGTACTCTTATTTAATTTTGTCACTTTATAAGTGGATTCAGATCTTTTCAGCATGTTACAAGGTTTGTTTACTGAAAACTTTATTTTTTTTTAAGTTTATGTTCCTTAGTTCTATTGTACATTTTACTTTTTTTTTTAAGGATTTTATTTAAAATTGTAAAAGTGATGTTTGCCATGTTATCATTTGTTTTATTTTTGTTGAAGAACCCTGTTGGAAACATCTAAGTAAATAAATAAATTACTTAAGTTCTGCCAATGACAGAAAGATATCAATTTATCATGATCTAAAGAAAATATTTTTACAGCCCTTTAAAAATCCATTACACAATCCTGAAAGGACCTTTTGGGGACATGAAGATAAACCCTTGTTTGTACCAACATGAGTTCAGTGATGCAAATGCTGAAAGTCCATATCGATCCCTTTCATTATCAGATTCAGCAGAGTGTAACAAGCTTTTGGCTGCAAAGGCCATCAACTTCCGGCTAATTATGTTCCATGTTTCCAAGTGAAAGTGAGCAGTGAGAGCAGTTTTCCATTATATCCAATTAGATATCCCATTTAAGGGCTTTTCCTACTGGTCTGGATGTTTGATTAAAAAATTTAAATTAGTTTGGTTCTTGGATTTCATTGGAAAACCTAATATTTGTTTGTTACCAAAGGATTAGAAGAGAAAATTGTTTTCTCATTCAAAAAATAGAAACAATTACACTTTTCTGATTCTAAACTTATCTTCTTTAATATATAAAAAAAAAGGAAACCACTTGTTTTTTATTTTATTAACCTATTTTTATAAAAAATGCTAGTGAATAACTATCTTAAATATATTCAACTTAGTAACCACATGTACTGATGCTGAATAGATAACTGATTACTAGCTTACTCTTGTTTGTTGTGAACAGATTAACAGTTTAGTTTATTTTTCTCTCATTATGCTTACTTGATATTTGATTGTAATTTGGAGCTTCATTGTAAAACTTTAGGTCCAGGACATAATTGACATTTGTTAATATCTGTAAGATTATCTTTAACTCTTGAGATCTTATACTGATTTTTTTTAGAAAAGTCAAAATTCTGGCATTAAATGTCAAAGTTATTCTAAAGATATAAATGTGTAGTTTACCTAAAGTTACACTTTAATACAAAAACTTTATATATGTGTAATCCAAGTTCAAAAGTTAAACTTCCATAATAATGAAGCTTTTTGAATAGTACTGTATGTGTGTAGGCATTTTTTTTTCCACCTTAAAACAAGGGTGGCTAATTTTGTTGAGGTATAATAATATTTGGTAAATAAGTGCACAGATGTAGGAAAAGCCCTGAATATAGTTATTCAACTTTTAGCTGTATATGTGTCAAGATCCTGTATATATATAATACAGATTTTTATCATGAATTTGAATTTGTAGTGCAATGAATATTTACAATCTTTGATGTAATTTTTAAATTCTTGGTCATGTTTAGTATAAGTAGCTAGCTGGAATATCTGATACTGATTATATAAAAAGAGTAAGTGTCATTGGTTTTGGATTATGATTGAGAAGCTGGTGATGGGCCACATTATTGTTGACATAAAAAAAATGGTTATTAGATATCTTGAAAAGTAGCTCAATTCTAAAATAATTTTCATGTAACTTATCAAACACATGTATTTTGCTACTGTAATATTATAGGAAAAGGATTTGTTAAAAGGATGATGAGAAGAATAAAGAAGCAAGTAAACGCATAATTATTATAATGTATAAATACACAAATCTAAATTAGCTTTATTGTACTTATCCAAAAAGAAACATTAAGTTTTGCATTCTTAGATTGTTGTGTAATTTTACACATTGTACAGAAAGTGAAGAAGGTTTATATATCCTATATAGGAAGAAAAAAAATCCAAGTTTATTTTTGTGAGAAAAAAAAGCATAAACTAAACTACAAGCTATGGACTTTGTTTTAGTTGTCATAATTCCCTCTTCATTTATCAAAGTTTGAGTGTTAGTCCATTGTTATCTGTTCATCTTGTGTATAATCCTATTTAAAAAAATATCAGACACTAGTTTGTTTTATTAAAGTTAAATTTGTATGGAGTTTTATAAAATGTCACACTAAAGACCCTCAGGAACTACTTTTTCCTAAATCAGCATTGTTTTAATACATGCTTCTGCAACCCAGTTCAGTGCTATGCATAGAAACATTATTCACATATATGTATATATATCTGAAATACCAATTGTTTTGCATTTTCCATACTTAATAATAATCACAACCAACAGACTTTGCATTGTATCTTTACCATGAAAGATATCTTTTAATGCCAAAGTTAATTTTAAAGGAGAGATAATATTTAACCATAAAAATAAAAACAGCACTGTACTGGTGATTGTGGTTGCATTACTACATCAAAAAAATTCAAAATTCCTTACTGAAATATGTTTCTTCTTAAGATTATGATTTTCTAAGTATGGTAAAATTGAGATAAGATTGTTTTTCAAAAATTAAATGGTAAAATTAACAACTTTTTAAATTCATTTTTATTCTCTGACAACACTATATAACTAACTGCCTGTTTGTTTAAATATCAGGATTTATAATTAAAAATATAAAATTTTTAAAAAACATTCTTTGGTAGATGCTTGTTTTAAGATGTAATGTGTTTATTACATCCAATTCTAATAACCATGGAAATATTTAGGTCTGTTTACCTTAAGAGGAAATACAGGGTTTGAATCATTATATACATTAAAGAATATAAGTAAATGGTATTAATAGCAAGTATAAAAGCTTTTATTTAAGTACCAGAGTGATACCGGAAAAACAAAACAAACAAGTTAGTGTCTGTGATGTTTGGCTTTTGTGGCCAATCATGTGATTGTATTTATATACATAATGAATTTTGTGTGTGATTTTATCATAATTATATATAATTTTTTAAGTCATGATTGTTCATGTTTATACCTGCAGCTATTTAAGAAGCATTGTTACATTTTGAAATTACATTATGAACACACTGAACATAAATACTGGGCCTTTTTTTTACCATTTCCGAAACGTTAATAAAACTAAAAACTTGCTGCAAAAGTTGTAACACACATGAAAAGGCTTTGTTAATTACTTCACTTAGTCTATTGAATATGGGTTAAGTACGTTTTACCAGAAAAAAAATAAAAAACAGAAATCTTTGCTTGTATTATAGTTCATATAAGCTACCTTCCTAACCCAGTGTATTCCATTATTTCACAAACTTAATTATTTACAAATATGCTAATGTGTGGTGAGCATTTTAACATCAAATTAATTTAAATAGTTGTGTCAAAGGTAGAATATATTTTTTGTATTAAAGAAGGAATCGTTTTTAACTCATGAAAACTTGTTCTAGGGATGAAATACATTTAAAAATGTAGCAAAGAGATAAATAAGTGTATGCCAGTCCCAATTAATATGAAAGGTTAGGTCAAATATTTCAATGCAACTTTTCATATTCAGCAAGGAACTTGCATTTGTTAAATCAAACAATCAAGGTGGATCATTAATCCTTATTTAATGGTGTCAGTGTGTAATTCTGTATGTGAATAGTATTTTAGTTTTATTTATTGCTACTTCTACTTATTTTCCCACTCCATTATAAATTATATAGTTAGAACCTCATGCTGGAACATATGTATGGTGTGTGTCAAGGAGTATCAGGGTCTGAATGACTATTACCTTTGTGTATAAACACCACTTTGATATGTTTGAAGTGTTTCTCAAACAAGTCTGTTTCTCAGCTTCTAAATTTTATCACCGACACTCCTTGTATGTGATCATTTGACCAACTTGTGTATTTAATGTATTGCTATGTTTCATATTCAACTGTATTTTAGAAAAGAATTATGAAAAAGTTAGTTTTAGTCATTGAAAACTAATATAAAATTTTGTTATAAAGCTACATTATGTTTCAAACTTCCTTGATTACTTTGAGTTTTATATGATCTATGAGGAAAGTACTGTTCTGTGATAGCAGTTTAGAAAGGATTATTTAAGATCAACACATTTCATGAATTGGTTTTTGAGAGGAATGTTATGCTCCATTGAAATATTAAAATATAATGAAAGAACATTTACTCCTTTGATAAACTAGCATACACAAAGTTGTTTGTAAATATCTTTAACATGATCAGTATCTGTTATGTAAAATTTTTGTTTTCAGTAAAGTAATATTGCTAATGTCCTGACAAGTCCTCGTTTCTAATTGTAGTTAGTGATTCTGAAGACCTTATAAAGAATTTATAAAATGATGAAATTGACTGAGTCTTACTAAAACTTTTAGTTATAATAGAAAATATGATACATTTTTTACAGATTTCTTATTGAAAAAAAAACCATTAAATACATATACTTGAAAAACCAGAGACTGTCTTGGTAGTGTGGTATTTCTGAATTACTGTTTTGATAATCTTCAAAGCTATACTCACAATTTACAGTGATTGTTTTCAATAACAACAACAACAACTCACATTCGTAGAAGTTGTCGAAGAGTATAAGCTTGCACTTCAAGACTTGTAGCAATTACAAAAGGTACAGCATAGTTGAAAAAATACCATTTACTAATATGTTATACACATTATAATATTATCATTAGTGACTATTCTTATTGCCTTCAACTAGGAAATTAGTTGCATTTTAAAGCTAGAACTTTAATAAGAGTGCCACTAATAAGTTAATTGTAGGTTCCTACTACTAAGTCCATTTTTGTTGTGCCATTAACCCTTTCCAGACAGGTCACGGGTGAAAGGCCATATCATTGTGTTTGTAGACTCGCATTCAAACTTTTATTGAACTACTATTTCATAAATTTATGTCAATAAGTTTGGTATCAAACTGTAGATTATAATTCAAATTGCAGTATTATACCTTACTCAATTTCTTAATTTAAATGTAAATATTAAAAAAACACAAACATCAATTTTGGTGTGTCACGTGGTATGTTGAATGTAGCACTGGTTCAAATTAGATGATTGTGATGTCAAAATACTAAGTCTATAGTTTCATATGAATTAGGAACTCAAATTACTGATATTGACAAGCTAGAATATAAAACAAGAGCCTCTTATCTTTTCAGTATGCTAAGATATTGCTCATATAATAAATCAAACACAGTGGCACCCTGCCCACCTCTTTCCATTTTTGGAAATGCTCCCTTATATACAATAACTTCTATATATGACATGAATAACCAATCAGAAGCTCAGAATGTCCCCCTAGTAGCTTTTTCAGCCATTTTAACATATTTGGATGCCATATCTTTATTTCGAACCAAGATTTAAAACAGGTGGGTTGTGTCTTTAGTCTGCTCAAAACGAAATTTATGATTTTTTTGGTTATTCAACTGTATATATAAAATTTTAAAACAATTTTGTTTTGTATCCTCCATGTGCAAAATTTTAAAAGGCTTAGAAACCTACGTCAAGCAGCAACCAAGTAGAAATGTTGTAACTGGAAGAAATAATTGTTTGCTTCACTTCATTATTAACTGGGCGAAGAAAAATAAGTTTAAGAACGTATTTCTAAATAGCAATAATC